CAAGACTGTTGCCGTCTTTAACAAGAATCCAACGCAGTGCATTTGTCATTATGGAAGCCAGCGGCAGTCGCACACAGTGTGTTGAGTCTATGAAACAAATGGAAGTAGCTGTCGACGCAGTCGCGGAAACCAATGATGAATTTAACACCCTGACGAGAGACGCGAATGAGATTGAAAAGGCTGGAGAGTACATGGAAGATGTAGAAAAACAGTACTCAGAAGCAACAGAGAGAATTCAACAGCATCTGATGGCTAGAGAAGATGAGCTAGCATCTGTAGGACCATCAGAGAGTCAGTCGGCAGTGTCCGATCGGTCTGCTAAATCTCGAGATGCTGAGATAGAGGCTAAGCTGCGCGAACTGAAGCTTCAGCAGCTGGGGCGGCAGTGGTGTTTCGAGAAAGAGGAACGGGAGCTGCTGCGAAGAAAAATACTGGCAGAAACGACGGTCGCGCGTGACACCGCTCAACTAGAAGCCCACCTGCGGAAGGCTGCCGAGACAGAGCTCGCATGGGAGCGCCGCGATGATTTCGTGAGCGAGCGGCGAGCTCCAGAGAAAGTTGACTCGATGCATCTTCACCGGTGTAAGGATAACTTACCAAACCATTCTCAGGGAGAACGGATAACGACCAATCAGAGCTCAGGACACAAAACGTCAGCTCACTGTTCATTGTTCGCGAAAAGTATTCCGCGCATCACTCCGCCAACATTCTCCGGTGATTCCATGGAGTGGCCAAAATGGTACGGATTATTCGAATCGCTCGTGCACAACCACCATACCCCTGTCTGAGACAGAAAAAATGATCCATCTGCAGTCCGCTGTCTCAGGTTTGGCACAGCAGACCATCAGTGGTGTGTTGTATGAACCAGAGCTGTATCAGCAGGCACTCACGGCATTAGACGAAGGATTTGGTCAGAAAGATGACATCGTTAACGCAAATATTGGAACCATATTTGCCGCTATAGTCCCCAGCTACACCAAATCCACTAGTCTGGAGAAGTACCATGCTACAGTTAACTGCGCTGTGATCGTTCTGCAGAACCTAGGTTTCAGAAGTGACCTTGAGAGCTGCGAGAACCTGAGAAGAACAGTAGAGAAACCATCGATAGAGCTGAGGCGAGAATGGAACAGACACCTACTGGAAATGGAGCCCACAAAACCCAGTTTGGTGACCTCAAATCGGTGGTTCGACGACGAGGTGAAAATTGCGCTAAAATGCGAAAAGTCAGCCACGCTACACAACCGGAAGCAGCCTACAAGGCGCTCAGCGATGATGACTGGAGCCAGCCCTGTTCGATGCGTCTGTTGTGGAGATGAACATAGCTTGGAACAGTGCGAAGCTTTTGAAAAAAACGTCACCTGATGATTGTGTTCAGGTTGCAGTGGACAACAGACTGTGCTTCTTTTGCCTGCAAGGAAAACATCGCGCTCGTAACTGCCCCGCCGCTACACCTTGTGGATGGGATGGATGTACCATGAGACATCGCGAGCTCCTTCGTTCGACGGGATCTGCTCACACAACTTCTGACATCGATGGCGGCACATCCACACAACGTACAATAGCGACTGCGGCCGCTCAACATGATGACGTCATCACGCTTCTGCAAATTGTGCTTGTCAGAGTGCATGGACCGGCTGGCAAGTACAGAGACACTCATGCATTGTTGGATCCTGGAGCACAGACGTCATTGTGCTGCTCTGATGTGTCGTCTCAGTTGGACATACAAGGCGATGAGCGCACACTTCGTCTCCAGAACGTAGAAAGTTATGAACGAGAGCGGATCTCAAGTAAGGTAAGGCAGGAGCTGATTCCAAGAGCGTCGGCGGGTGAGCACGCGCATATTGTAGTGCCTAAAGCGTTCTCTGTTCCGCGACTGAATGTCGATGTGCCCAAGATAGCATCAAGAGAAAGGCAATCTTGGTATCACCTGGCAGACCTGGACATACCGAACTGTGACGGGACCAAGGTGGAGCTGCTGCTGGGGGCGAACGTCCTGGAAGCAGTCCTGCAAAAAGAAGTGCGCGTTGGAAGGCCAAATCAACCAGTGGCAACTCGGACTGAATTTGGATGGACACTGACAGGATCCGTCCTAGGATTCATACCTGACAGGTCACGACAGATGATGTTCGTGAACAGGATCCCAAAAGATGATGACATGTCACAACTGCTGCAGGACTGGTGGACCACCAAGTCCTTCGGGACAAATTTTGGTGACTCTGAAGGACTGATCTGGAAATAGGATGACGTCGCCCTTCTTAACAACAGGATCATGGCAGTTCGTCGCCTTCAGACTCTCGAGAAAAGCTTGCTTCGACAGCCAGAAAAGGTCACAATGTACTCCGAAGTCATCAATGGATACATTGCGAATGGTTTTACGCGGAAGCTGACCCCAGACGAAATCAAAGAGTACAGCCCAAGAGAGTGGTACCTTCCGCATCACAGGGTTATGAATCCACACAAGCCGGGAAGACTGCGTGTCATTTTTGATGCCACAGCGCGTCACGCTGGCACATCGTTGAACGATGAGCTACTGACCGGTCCAGACCTGCTCAAGAATTTGACGGGGATCCTGATGAGATTTAGAGAAGAGTGGCTCGCGTTGGTCGCAGATATCGAACAAATGTATCACCAGGTGCGTGTGCTAAAAGAAGACGAAGCAGCCCTCAGTTTCCTCTGGAGGGACCTGAAGACGACTTGAGAGCCCGACACGTATCGCATGTCAGTTACAGTATTTGGTGCCAAGTCGAGCCCCGCCTCCGCTATGTGCTGAGAAGAACGGCTTTAGACCATGGGGGTCAGACGCGAGAAGCTCAAGCTGCCGCTGAGGCGGTGTACAATCATTTCTTCATGGCTGATTTCTTGAAAACCGAAAAAAACTGTGAAAGACGCAAAGGTTATGGAGGAGAGATGACATAGTTGTCAGCCAAAGAAGGATTCCGTCTAACAAAGTGGAGAAGTAATTCTGAAGAGGCGCTGGCTGCAATTCCAGCACAGGATCGAGCTCATGCTGATACGTCGCTTCTAGTCGAAACTGCACTTGGATGCGTCTGGGATCCAGACCGTGATACTTTAGTCACCAGACAGATTGATGCCGACGTACCGCCCACGAAACGCGGCGTAGTGAGAGCCGTGGGCAGACTGTCTGCCCCACTGGGAATGCTAAGTCCATTCGTAGCACAAGCAAAGCTCCCCGTTCAAAGACCGTGGGCAAAAGACTACGGATGGGATGATTTACTGGATGAAGAGGATCTCCAGACATGGTCTGCGTGGCGGTCTAACCTTCCCCTTGTCGGGAATTTGAACATGCCGAGGTGCTTAAAGCAGCATCTGCGTAAAGAAAATGAGTGCCGGCACGAATTGCATGTGTTCTGTGATGCATCACAAGTAGCGTTTGGAGCGGTGGCGTATGTGAGGTCCATCGAAGACGATGGCTCACGTAGCTTTATGCTTGATATGACTAAGACAAAGGTTGCCCCTCTCAAACAGATTGCGGTAGTCCGCTTGGAGTTCCAACCAGCTGTGATGGCAGTACGAGTCGCAAACACGATCCAGAAAGAAGTGTCTTACAAATTCCAGCGAGTAGTGTTCTGGAGCGATAGCCAAGTTGTACTGCAGCGCCTGCGAAGTGAGAAGAGAGTGAAGTGAGGGGGAGGGGGGAGGGGGGGAGGGGGAGGGGGGAGGGGGGGAGGGGGGGGAGGGGGAGGGGGAGGGGGAGGGGGAGAGGGAGAGGGAGAGGGAGGGAGAGAGAGAGGTGGTGTGTGTGTGTGTGTGTGTGTGTGTGTGTGTGTGTGTGTGTGTGTGTGTGTGTGTGTGTGTGTGTATGTGTGTGTGTGTGTGTGTGTGTGTGTGTGTGTGTGTGCGCGTGCGTTCTGTTCCAGTCAACCTTATTTGTGGATACTGTTTCTACACCATGAGCTAACGTTTTAAAAAGAAATACAGTCGCCTGAGAGGAATCTAAACGGCTTTTTTACCTGAAACACATGTACCGGTCAAAACAATACTCAGACCGTGCCAAACGTCATGGTAAACTGACAAATCAACCACTGGTTGTTTACGTGTGTTGGCAGACGCCATCCCGTCGGTGGCACCTGACCGCCGATGGAGATGGCAGCGTGTTTACACTTCGGCGCTGGCCGCGGCGCGGCGGGGGCTCGCCAGGAATGTGACCCAGTCCGGAATGTGGGATATGGCCGGGGTCAACGCATGAACGGCTGTTCAGGCGCCAGCGCAGACAGCGCGGGGGCGGCTGCGGAAAGGTGAGGGCAGATGTTCGGGAAGGTACACACATGTTGCCTTCGAGAAGTCGACATGATAGACAGCGTTCTGTCTTTCTTTTTCGTAATTTATTTGTCCCAAGTTGAATACTTGGGGTAGGTAGGTAATCGCCAGCGGAGATCGGGTTAACACAACTTCTTCCAGTTTTCACTTGGGGGAGCATGCCCCAAAACATTTTAAACATAGTAATGGACTGCAGGTTAGCCAATTTGTTGGAAACTTTTTACATCTGACCTGCGATTTGCAACGTCCTGCAAAGTTCGGTAACGGCCTTATGTACGCGTTATCCGGGCCCGGCTCGTCGTCAATGTGGAAAACTGGCGTTTGTCGGCGCATTATTGGCTGTATTTAAGAGAGGTATTCTTGTCCAGCGCTTACCAGAGTGTGCAGTGGTTTCAACATGCAAATCATCATTGTTTGTCACCTTTGCTAGTCAACAAAGGTCTAGGTGACATAATGCCAACTCTTGGCATTTACACTCTTAAATCCATCATGCCATGAACCAACGTGACTGAAGCGTAGCAGCGGTTGTGAAATGGTCCTTCAGAGTCAAAACTAAGTCAGTTAAGATCCAAAAGCTGCCCAAATATTGTTGTAAGCCTTTCAGTGTATCACTGTCATCATAGTGCCTGCAGGTCGCGGCCAACCACCCAAGGCCAAAATCGTGCAAAATCATTGAACGACCAGGTGGTCATATTTTACTTCCCAGAAGTAAGTGGTTAGTTTTCATCTGTATTCAATTAACTCTGCGAGCAATGAAGTCATGTGAAGAACGTAATGCGTGCCTCAGCATAAGAACTCTGAATTCAAAATGCCGATAAACGATGAGGTGATGGCCTTTCTCTCGTACATCGCACCGATTCCTGTCAAGACAGCCAGTTTGTTTGATAGCGTCGTTTAACCAGTACCTCCTGGCACCACGGATGTCCAATACTGTCAAAATAAAGGCTCTAAGCTCATACTGCTGACAAACTAGAGCTCAAGGCCTTTCTTGTTTGTATCAGTCAATTTATTCCACAGCATTAAGCAGCCATGACTGACCGCAAGGTCATGGGCGAATTGCTGCAGACAACAGGTCTGCGAGTGCTTTCAGCACCGTTCGCTTTCCGCCACGAGCTTTGCACTTTCCGGCTTAAAGTCAATGCATGTGACTGATAAGAAATATCAGATGAGAACTAAGGTAACCAGCGCTGCGGTATCTCGCACCGACCGCATCACGAGAAACTGCAACAGCCAGGACCAACGTGAAGTTCGCAGCTCGCATCTACCCGTTAAGATCTCCCGATCCGGCTATTTAGAGCTCCAGACGTTGATCGGGGAGCTCACACAAGACGCCGGGGTACTGGCTTATCTCCGTCAGACTGAAAAAGCACCACCACTCAACGAACTAAGGTTTTGTGTCGGGTGATGTTGCCCCTCGTGCGCTGCAAATGAACAACGGCGATGGTCATACATTGTGCAAAGAAAGGCACAATAGTTTTAAAACGTTAAATACAGTTTACCCGGCTTTTCAAAGGCAAGATTCCTGCGTTCAGTCTCCGAATTTCAGTCATCTAAGTAAGAATTTAGTCGAAACAGGTTCTGCACGTAGCACTCAAAAACGACGACGTCCACGGTATTTCCCGGCTCTGTTGTCGCTTCAGCCAATCGTGTTGTCACTGAATCTGATTCTATATAGGCGGTCAGACTGCCCGAAGCGCATTCCGTTACGTTTACTCGCTACACCCATTTGCAATTAAAATTGCAGTTAAAGTTAGCTTTAAGAAATATCATTAAAATTCAACAACTGCGCGGTATCTTTGGCCAGACTGCCAACATCTCCGACACGCATTCATTCGCTTGCCATTTCATTATCACCACTCCTATCACCTCAGCAATGACACTTCAATTGCACGGCCAACATTTTGTACGATGTGACCTGAATAAGCTTTCCGTAACATTACAAGCGTGTAAGTCGCGGGACGTATTAACGTAACATTTACCATCACTTACATATTCCAAATGCAGCTCACCTGCCTGTCTTTCATAAGACACCGACGGTTCCATCAAACCGTGAGCAACTGTGTCTTGTCTGACCAATGATAGCTTGCACCAACAGACACAAAATGCACCCCTGAGCGAACTGAATGCATCAAAATTCAATAATGACAATACTAAACATTCCCAAACACTCTGGTTATTCATCTGAAAATCTGATCATATCAATTTCTATGGCAACCACATAACATATTAGCTGTCATATACTTCAAAACCTGAATATATCATCATCCTGCACGCCTGCTGCTCCCAAGTAGTTCAGCATATCCTTCTCGAACGACCGTGTGCCGCATACGAGATAGCGCGTCTTCAGCGCCATCTGCCGCATCACCTCCTGCACGTCCTGCGAGCCGGGGCGGCGCCACCGGACCGGCTCGCCGTACCGCGCCGAATCCTCCTCCCCGCCGCTCACAAACAGCGTGTATGTGAAGTTCCAGGCGCGCGCAAACTCCGCCAGCTCGTCCCGCGGGAACACGTCCCGCAGTCGGCGCACGGCCAGCAGCAGCACCAGCCGCGTCTCGTCCGCCTCGTCGGCCAGCACGGCGCGCACCAGCGCAACAAACGGCGCCACGCCCGTGCCGGCAGCGAGCAGCACGAGGCGCGCGTCGCCAGCGCGCGGTTGGAACTCGCCGAACGGGCCGCGCCACCGCACGTGCAAGCCCGGCCGCCAGCGGCGCACGCATGCCGATGCCGCGCCGTCGGCGTACCGGCGGATGTAGACGTCGAAGTAGCCGGCGGCGTCGCGCGGCGAGACAGGCGTGTAGGGCCTCGTCAGTGGTCTGCCGGCGGCGTCGTGCTCGCGCAGCACGAGGTGCTGCCCGGGACGCAGGCACAGTGCCGTGCCGGTCGGCAGCGCGAACCGGTACACGGCAGCGTCGTCCGACACAGGCGTGACATCCAGCAGCGGCAGGGCCGTGTAGTGGTCCGGGCTGAGGGCGGCGGCGCTGGGGCCGGATGGCGTGAGGGCGGGGCCGAGGCGAGCCTGCTCACGGCGGCAACGCCACACGGCCAGGTCACGCTCATACAGGTCGAACACGCAGGGTGAGCAGCCGTTGCCGCAGCAGTCCGAATCCAGGGGGCACTGCGGCTCCTCCAGGAGGTTGTTTTCGTCCTCGTCCTCACACTGCACGGCGCCTGGGTCCAGGGGGCGCTGCAGTTCCTCCGGGAGTCTGGCCTCGTCTTCGTTCGTAGATTGCACAGCACCTGAGTCCAGGGGGCGCTGCAGTTCCTCCGGGAGGCTGGCCTCGTCCTCGTTCGTCAGATTGCACGGCGTCCTGAGTCCACGGGGCGCTGTCGCCCCTCCGAAAGACCAGCCTCGTGGTGCTCATTGTCCTTCACAGCATCTGAGTCCAGATGGCGCTGTAGCTCCACCATGTGGCCAGTCTCCTTATCTTGTTCTTGCTCATATTTTTGCTCATCTTGATAGGGATTCAAGTGAGCAAGCAGGCCCTTAGAAACTGTGTCTTGTTCTCCACAGACTCCCCATTCCAGGCAACAGCTTTGGATATTGGGATATGCAAGAGCGTTGGTTGCTTTCAGTATCTGCCAGCATGTTGTTTTTCACATGACCCACCTTCCTTCATATGTTGAATTCAACTGGGCAGCCTTCTGGTGTGCAGCACCTGTACCAAATAATTCCAGAGATGTCACACATGAAACAAGCAATATGTGTGTTGCTTTTATTTTTGTCTCTTCATTTCCCCTGCAGGTGATTCCAAAGGAAGCAATGGTGATGACTATTATGGATAATTTTAAGCCACAAGGGTTAACACTCAAGACAAATACACCTTATATCTTAGAAGTTAAATTATTCACTTCACACCAGTTGCAAAACCTACACAAATTGTAAATATTCATCAGGCAGCTTAGCTAACAAACATGCCTGTATACTTAATACCTCATGTCAGAAAATATGGAACTCAATGGCAATCATGGCAAACTAAACCAATGCAAAGATCATTTTGTATTTGAAATATACAGCATGAACATTATAAAGGTCAATTACTGGGCACTGAGCATAATACTACATGGGTCAGATTCTTCTAATGCAGTTATTGGACTAACTGTTGACTTATTCAGCCTTATCTGTTTGTAAGTTGCATTATTTTAATAAACAACTGCTGAGACAAATAAAATAGGACAATGCAACTGTCATAACTTCAACTTTTTCCTTATCCAAAAATTTGAGGATCAAGTGCCTGAAGAGTGCACTGATATGAATTTTCAGCAACAAGCAATTGTCAAACAAATTAATCAAAACACTGAATGGCCTGATAAATGTTCAGCAGCCCACCTTTTGCTTAAAGCATAAAGCACTGTGATCAAGTTGCTTTGCAATGCCTTGTGGCCAAAAATCAATGTCAATACCCTGATACAGCCAATATGCATGCTTTGAATGTGGATGTCTGACATACACATCAGTCAGATCATGTAATTTTGTGGTGTTTTGCACATAGCTTCCAAAAGTGTAATACATATACAATTAAATGAGCGATTTGACAATGAATGCAAACATGATCCCTAAGAAACAAAAAAATCCTGATATAGCCATCAAGCATTTCTGGTGACACTGGTGACAGTGAACCCTAGGGTGGTAGCAGGATGCCATTTTTTTCCTCTCCAATTATGCAGCATAAATGTTACATAATCCAATTTTGAAAATGCAGCTGCCTTCAGCCTTCCCCTGCCCACCAGTCTACCATGCTTTGGTGAATCCCATAAGTAGTCCACGCCAATCATCCTAGTCCCAATTCCACTCACTTAATCTGTTGTGAACTAGGCCACTTTCGTCCAATTTCCACACCAAGGTTGGAAAAGTGCGCATATTTTGGCATTGTCTCACAACAATTGGAGCAATTATATCTGGCCGCAATCGAATCCATATCTTGGGATGAAAAGCTTTCCACCTCCTTTCAAAATGCCTGCCTGCTACTTTCGCGTCCCAAAGCGATTCGTTCTGACATCGTAAGTCGGTTGACCTTAGCTTGACTTTGATGATGAATTACTCTCTGGTCAAAAACCAAAGCACTGATATTAACATGCAACAGCTGTCTTGAAAAACCTTTTGAAGGTAATGCTCCGCATTTAAGTATCTTGAAGCAAGCAGGAGATATGACGGAATAAGCTATCTTACAACGATTGGTGTACTTCTAAGTGAAAAATGCAGCTCTAAGGCTGAAATTGTAAAAATTTAACTGAAGCTTTAAAATATTGAAATTGTTCTTGTTTGAGCCAGGCGCGCGGCCAGAGCCTTGCCAAGGGGGGGGGGGACATGAGGTTAATGAAAGGTTCCCTTAAAACAGTAAAAGACAGGAAGGGCTAAATGCAGGACAGTAAAAGGGCCCTGATACCTCCCCCCACGCAAAAAAAAAAAAAATGCTGGCTCAGGACTCACTTGCTAATGAAGGTATGTTTTACTTGATTTTTTTCTTTTGCATGCTTATACTAGAAGACAGACGCCAGGGGCCACCACAAGATTAATTCTGCATGACTTTTTTGTCAATAAACCTTAGAAAAAGTGCGGTGAATGGCCGCATGAAATAAATCGCTGTGATTGTTCATTTTACAATGGTCCAAGGGACTCTGCTAAGCCGACAGAGATCTCAGGCTTTGTTGGAATTTGTATCCGCGTTGTACTAGATATTAAGGACCATGCAAATGTAGGCTGTGGGTCGAAACGGGTCAATAATTTGTATCAACATGGCCAAGCTATGTTTGTCTGGAAATTTTCAACATTCAGTCAAAGCCGATTATTGAGAAACGTTGTGTAACGTAGTTTTGATCGTGTGCATCCCCAAATCTAAGAAAAAATATCGACGCCAGGCGTTGCAGTCTCCATAGACCGCGGCAGCGTCGGCCTTGTGGTTAACAGTGAGCTGTGGCCAACAGGGTGGATAAAAATGACAAAGCATCTGAAAAAGTACCTTTGAACGCTCTAGAACATAAAATTGTACATTTCGAATGAAGCCTGGGCGCATATTCTCCCGGTGTAATTTTTCGATTGATGATAAGGACGGATTGGCATCTACAGCACCGCTGACTTGTACTGGAATCTGTTGGTAGAATTGGAAGAGTTAAGTCAGATCCTCTATTTTTCGTGTTGCTGTAGCTGTAACTGCATGACACCCACCGCCTGGTGTTACATGCAGCGGCCAACGCTGTTCGGTTTTGTGGAAATTGCAACCCAGGTTGACGTTGTCTTTGCTCCCGTGGTCGTGAGCGCGCAGGCTCAAACCTTTTAATGTAATTTCTTCCACTAATCGATTCTGCAGAAGACTAAACGTTTTCAGGCAAATGGGGGATCGTATTTTTTTCGCCTTTTAATCTGTTTAGACCCACTCTATTCAAAACTAATGATGCCCACCATATATTTCCGGGAAAAGGGTCCCATTGAGTAGAACACTAGGGGGCAACAATAATGATCCCGGCCGAAGGCTGAAGGGCCATTCCGTTCCACCGCATGATGCTTTCCGGCTGTTAGTGATTTTTCGGTGTTAGCGATATCTAGCCGAAATAGAGGAACGCTCTGTCTCAGGCGTCCGCAACCAGTGCAAGAGACCATCTAACTAATATTTGAGATCACGGCTCTACAGGCGGGGGTCCTTAACGTGACCTGCAGTTAGAAGAGCCCTTAGGCTCTTCAGCCTTACAATCCGGCCATTGATCTTTGGTCTCGAGGGACACCTCGGCCCATCTTCGGACTCCCTCAAAGACCACTCCTGACCGACTAGGTCCACTTGCCGTCACACGACCCTTGACAGACACTGTGGCCCCTGACCGGCACAGGGGCGCTGAAGGTGTCAGGGACCCGAACATTCCGAATCGCGGACCCGGCCTTGTTCCTGCTTGGGAAATGGGTCTCAGGCGCCCAGACGGGCATGGAGCCGACTGTTTGGCTCCGTGTCGAGGCAGTGTGTAAAAGGGATGTATATCCCTAATAGATGAGCCCTAAAAAGCCCTCTGACTGAACTTTCAGGTCACAGCGTTACGGGTTGGGGGCCGGGCCAGAGTTTGATCAGGCCTTTGATCTTTTGTCCGGAGGGTCCCTCCGGTCCCTCTTCGGACCTTCTCAAACAAAGCCCATGACCGACAAGGGGCTACTAGCCGACACATGACCCCCTGTTAGGCATTGTGAGTCCCTGACGGACGTAGAGGACTCTCAATCCTTTCAGGGACGCAGATCAATGCAAACAGTGGCCACCGGCCTTGCGTCTTCGTGGGAAATGGGCTCCCAGGGTTCAGATTCACAGGGAGCCAACTGTTCGGCGTTCGTGGTCTCTGGCCGACTTAGACACCCGCAATTGTCTCAGGGTCCTAAAACGGCGCGAGAGGACCTCTGACTGATATTTTAGGTCACGACCTCGCGGGCAGCGATTCTTTATGTGATCTACCGCCAGTCCTTCGGCTCCTTGTGCCCTTCAACCGGGCCTTTGATCGCCGATTTGGGTGGGCCTCCCGGGCCCATCAGGGCCCCAGCCCCAGACATCATCTAACACTGCCCGTGGTCGGCTCGGGACCCCTCGCGAATGAAGGACTCTCTGTTAGGCGCTGCGAACCCCTGACAACTACAGGAGCCCCGACGAGTGTAAATCACTGGACCCGGCCTTGTAGCTGAGTGGGAAGTGGACCCTCAGGCCCATATATTTATATGGAGCCGACTTTGCGGTGCTGGTGGTGCCTGACCAACATATAGGCCCATATCGACTCAGGGATCCCCGCTCAGCGCAAAGGCTCTCTGACCGCCATTTGAGGGCCCGGCCCATTCTCCTCCGACTGGGCCCGCTGAGTAAGACTCTGGCCAGCCCTTCGTGCCCCTTAACCTTCAAATCGGCCCCTTGATCATCGGACCCGGTGGGTCCTTCAGGCTCTTCGGGATTCCTCGAACGCTATTTGACCGACTTGGAGCCCCTCGCCAAAGCAGGGGTCCCGTTAGGCCCTGGGGGGGGGGGGGGGGGCTGTGACGGCGCTGGAGCCCCAACCACTGCAAATCGCTGACTCCGGCTTTGCCCCTGCTTGGGAAATGGACCCTCAGGCTCATGCTGCCACGGAGCACCCCGTACTGTTACTGGTGGTGTCTGACGGGCATGTAGGCCCTTATCGACTCGGTGGAACCCTGATCAGCGCGCAGGGCCCTCTGATTGGCATCGGAGTGCCTGGCTCTGCGAGTCGGGGCCCCCTGAACACGACCTCCGGCCGGCCTTTTGGACCTTTCGGGCCCTCAAATTGGGCCCGTAATCGTAGGTCCCGGGTGTCTCGAAGGGCCCTCAGAACCTATGGGGACACGTGCCTCCTGTGCCCCCCCCCCCCCCCCCCTCCATCTGTGTTCGCTGCTGGTCTGAGCCAACACAAATTCTCTATTGACTGGACATGCTCCCCAATGCGTCATTGTTAGATTACGTCATCGTACCTTGCACAATATTGGCTGAGGGCCATTTGATGGGCGTTACATTTGGAAGATGGGCTCACAAAGGCCAGATATGAACGATTCCATACTTATATTTGTATTGGAATTATATTATGTTTCACATGTGCAATGCTAGATTGATGATAACAGCTACAGCAACACCAAAAATAAACGTTCTTCCTTTCCTCCCCCAGTCCCGCCACCAGATTCCAGCACCACATCATGATGCTGTAAAGGTCAACCCATCATCAATCTAGAAATTGCACGTGTGAAATATACACCAGGACAGCCTTCTTATTGTAAGATTTGATGTTCTAAAGCGTTCAAATGCACTTCTTTCAGATGCGTCGTCATTTTTGTCCACCTGTTGCCACGGCTCAGTATTGGCCGGAGGGCTGACGATGCGCGGTCTAAGGAGATTGCAATGTCTGCCGTCCATGTTGTTGTTGTCAAGCCTTGTGAGCGTGCATGTTCAAAGCTGCATTATATAATTTGTGTCACTAATCGATTCTGAATGAAGGTTGAATATTTCCAGACACGCATGGCTCGGTCATGTTGATATAAATTGCTCACCCATTTCGATCCACAACATACATTCAAAGGTCCTAAATACAGCCCAGATACAGATACCCAGGTACAGATGTACAGTCTGTACAGCCCAGATGAAAATTCGGAAAAAGCCTCTGAGCTTTAACGGAGAAGTAAGGGCCGACTGGGTCGTCGTGAATTAGAAGAGCGCCGGATATTTATTTCATGCGGTAGTTTAAAGCAGTTAAATATATTTAAACCAGTTTTTCAGTGTAGTAGCTATCAACCTCAGGCAGCATTGATTTGCGGTAGCTTCTAGTTAAAATTCTAGCTACAACAGGTAGAAATAAAGATATAAAAACATTCTCAGATTAGGAAATTACTATTTCCCGCGATTTTTCGGAAGGGGCTTTTTACCATTACGGGACCCTTTGTCGACCCTATGCCCCCTCCCCGGTAAGGCCCTGGCTGCGAGCCTGTTTGGGTCTATTGTCACTTATTTTTTTCACTGTATTAAAGTACGCCGCAACGAGGAAGCCTCCACGCGTCAACGGCATTACAGGAATATGAAAACACATGCACGAAGTGCCGTAGTGCTCTTACAAAAGGCAAAGTGATGAAACTTTTGGAGAAATAATGCGAATACGGGAACCAAAAAGCGCTTTTCTGATTGCCTCTTTCCATGAACGATCAAAAAGACAGATCCAATAAGCGGCTTTGCAGCTCTACGAAATAATAAAGGCAGGAAATACTGTCACTTGTAAGTTTTGCCTTCGACTGCAGTCCAATGAACTGAAACAACGACTAAGCAAAGTTTCAGTCATGCCCCCGGCTCCTACAGATCTCACGCTACAACCAAAACTTTGCAGCATCGTGGGTGTTGATAGAAAATCTTTGGATGGACGAGGTTCCATATGCTACAAGTAAGAGAGTCCCGCAGATCTTGGTATTCTGGCATTCTAAATTCAGAGCTCTTATACCGAGTTATCGACCTTAAATGTGCCAGGAGCCAGGAAGTGCTAGTTAAGGGTTGTTTGAACAGTGGCTGTATCAAAAGCATTCAGTATAAGCTAGGGAGTAGTGCTAGCGCTGCCGTGCTAGTACCAAACCCGTCTAGTAATATGGGCGTAACCGGTACCGGTACTTGTACTGGTAGTATCAGTAATGAGAGTATTATTACTATTGCTGTCAATATGACCAACGTTTGCCCTATGACGTCGTTCAACTAGTTCTTCCGGATATGCTGAAGGTCGCCTACTCAGCATAAGTACTCTGAACTAGTACCCAATGAATTAGGAGGAAATGGTGCAGCTTCCAATGTGGTGGACAAAAAAAGGTGTTTCACATGAGCAGTCTTATTAATGGATTGAGTCCAATGTATCAGCGCTATGGCCTAATTGCAAGTGGTTTGCTCGTACATGTATAGCATATTGGTCTCCCACAGGGCCCATGTTAAATGACGAAGATTGTATGAAGAAAATCCCGTAAAGTGCGTACTGCCGGCATAAGATAATGACTTGATGCAAGCCATGAGGAAATTATGTGGCTTCCGGCTCGTGTAACTTATGTAACTTATGTACTACTACTAACTGTAACTTATGTAACTCGTGTCGGCTTATGCGCCTTTCCAAGCGAATTTCTCACAGTTGAAGATATTAAATCAAGCATCAGACATGATGAAGTAAGGTAATACTATTGGTATATTTTCAAGTGGAGGGACTGCCCTCAACAACACCGTTCCTCTGTTAAGTAACACGCTCCGCAATGCGTCATTAAAACGGGATCAAGATGACCTCCTTGCAATAATTATATACGCAACACTCGTTAAGTAAGTTGCATTTTTGATGAATTTTTGGTCACCGACTTTGCTCAAAGAGTAAAAAAAATCCAATACAAGGTGGACGCCAGATGCTAGCCAGCGCTGAGAACGGTTTTTTCCCAGCAGACACGTCACATACGCATGCACGTATACATGAGTAACGTCCGTAACCAAAAATTCATCAAAAATGCAGCTTACTTAACGAATATCACATATATAATTACTGTAAGGAGGTCATCTTAATCCCCCTTTAATGCTCGCCGTGCCGTGCATTTACGCCAAGCACTGTACTACCATAGAGTCAATACGCCATTCTTCGATTACAACATTGTACCTTGCACAACATTGATTGAGAGCCACTTGAAAGCCGGTTGATCTGGAAACCGTGCTCATGAACGCCAGATATAAGCGACTCTACAAGTTATTGTTTCTTGGTCTTGGTCGCCGCATGGCCAATGGAATGACAAGATTTTAGCCGCGCTATTGTGGCGTCATGGAGGCCTAAGTGACCTTCAAATAGTCTCCCCGAAATAGTTTGTACAGCTTCACGGGCGCGTAGCTCAGAAACTAAAAGGGCTTAAGCCTTGAAAAGGGCTGGGCTCTAGACTGCACCGAATGGTTTTCAAGATGACCATTTCTGCCCAAAACCCCATGCAAATGTGGAACACCCCTTTTAACCATGGGGCACAAATAAGAAGCCATGCTTTTCACATACGAAGGTGAGTTACCTCACTACTGACCCGTCTGAGGTAGCAGACGAATGACCGGCACTCATAGCTGGGCTTTATTAAAGTAACCTATAAAGTACTAGGTTAGCCATAATGAAATAGCTGGCATGCCTGCAAGGTCTGTAGGGCCCGCACGACAGGCCACTCCAGTGCGCTGGGTTAGTAAGAGCCGGTACATGCCGTCGATATCCTCCATGGCACCCGCGACATTCTGTGACATGGGCTTACCCTAACCCACAACTTATCGCATTCACATTGATCCGCGTCTACTTGCAGCATCGCAGCCATGCATGTGCTATCCGTAACGACAGTACACATGCCGGCGCCAGCGACGGACGACCGGACAGCGACCGGACGGCACCCGCCCAGAGCCTTCCGCGACACTTGGCGCCTCCCCCTCGTCATGTTCCCTGATCACCCACAGGTGGGCACCAGAGCACGGTCATCAGCCGCCGATGCGCAGTTAGCGCCGTTTACCGGCACCTGTGCCGCGCCCGGCGGGAGGGTGTGGAGGTGGCCTAACCGTCACGTCCGGCCAGTCCTCTGCCAGCCTCACCATGATCGGTATCGTCTCCGTCCTCCTCTCGACGCTGCTGCTGGCGCAGGTTGGTGTGGTAGCTGGGGGGTGTGAGGCCTCCCCGGCCGTTCCGTGGCGGAGCCCGGCTGACGGGTGTGTGCCAGCGCCAGCAAGGGTTGGCAGACGTCCACGACTGCAGCTACAACTGCATGATTTATTTGGCGCGCTGCTTATCACGTGTCTTTATAGCCGCGGCATTTACTTTTTCCCTAATTTTAGTTGGTCGCTTACCATTTGTGGAAGCGGCCCCATATCCTTGTGATGAGACCACAAAATGCTCACGATTTAGGCTCAACTTAACCCATATATATGTTATAAATACAAGCATAGTGCAAGTGGTACATAAATAACAAGTTGAAGAGAGTGATCATGGCTCAAACATGACACAGACCGTAGTTTTGTGTTGGATTTGTACGAAACAGCAGGGAAACTTCGTCCATTGTCGGTACTTCCAGAAAATATGCAGTTCGTCGAGCGTGTTGCCTACTGCATTTTGTGTCGGTATCACTCGATCAGAATGTCGTCTCACATCCGAAGAACAGACAAAGATTTGAATACTGGACGGCACTTATCGCCAAGTACTTCAGCTTTCAGTCTTTGCTCTGAGCATACAAAAGCTTTGGACAGAATTTTACGCTCTTTGGAACTTCAACCACGATTTTATTGACAATTCTGTCTGTAGCTCGACTCGCATGCAAAAGCCTGGCCATTCGCTTTAAAGGGAGACTTCCCTGTAGTGTCCCAGGTATGTTCGATGGAAAGAGTCTGGCCACTAGACCTCAAACCTCTGCTCTTCCTCTCCCGTGGGCGAGAGTAACGAAATCTCGAATCCAAGGCGAGATCGGTGACACTGCCCTCTGCCCCCTCAGACGAGCATGACCCCGTCCGAGTTCAAGGCGAGGTCGGTGACACTGCCATCTGCCTCCTCAGGCGATCGTGACCCCGTCCGAGTTCATGGCGAGACCGGTGACACTGCCATCTGCCTCCTCAGGCGAACGTGACCCCGTCCGAGTTCATGGCGAGACCGGTGACGCTGCCCTCTGCCCCCTCAGGCGAACGTGCCCCCGTCTGAGTTAAAGGCGAGATCGGTGACGCTGCCCTCTGCCCCCTCAGGCGAATGTGACCCCGTCCGAGTTCAAGGCGAGATCGGTGACGCTGCCCTATACCCCCTCAGGCGAGTGTGACCCCGTCCGAGTTCCGGATGGAGGACATGGACGGCCCGCTGTACTGTCTGATGGAGTCGGGCGAGACCAAGGCCGTGCTGGGCTACGCCTTCGCACGCAACCTGCCCATCATGCCCAGCATCCACGCCGCCTCCAGCTTCCTAGGCCGCGGCATGGAGAACATCGTCAATATCGGCAAGATGACTGAACTCAAGTAGGTTCACAGCGCAGTCATAAACTCAGCTCAGGAAGGTCACGGTGGATAGTACTAGGGATGGCAGACTGGCTAAGACTAAAACGCTAGGAAGCTGACAAGGATAGAATAATTAAGAGATAAGAGGATTAAGATTTTTCTCGCTTGCTGAGGATTAGCGATGTTCGGCTAGTCCTTTATGTACGCGAGAGGCACGGCTCCTATATAAGCTATTCTTAATCACACGGTACAACAGACCAGTAACCTTCCTGCTACTACCTCTCTTTGACACCAGTACTCGATTTCGCGACTCTTTTTCTCTTGTTTCCTTCGTTTACGTTCTTCTCCGTACTGCCTGAGTACCCTGCCGGCTTGCTTTTCAGTCTGTATTCACTTGAATCCCCCTGAAGCACTCCCTCATTTTTGGCAGCTGCACGGGGTGTGTCATCAACCTGCCGGAGGACTGGGAGCCGGAGGACTTCGCCGACAAGCCGCTGCTTCAGCAGCCCGAGAAACCTTTCCCGGTGCCGTTCTGAGTTCTGCGTCAAAGCCCTCCTGTACGCAGAGGCCCCGCCTTTACCGCAGGTGTTTGGCAGTCCGCCACATGCGTTATGCAGCATGGAGCAACGTGGCACAACTGGGACTTTCTCTCGAGCCAATGATCAACCTGCAGGAGAGTCGAGCTGTCACCGGCTGGCGGTCGTTATTTCGCAATGCAATATATCGCAAGACTTCACATTTGGCACGCTGGAGGCCTGATATATCGTGGATATGTTTGTTAATACATTTGTATGTGTACCTTGGAATTCGGCAATGTATCCGCCATCAACGGCGTTTACCAGTTTCATTGACGTCACATCACCAGGCCTGCCCGCTAGCGTCACTCGCGATTCGACACCGCTATGCCACTGCCAGGCAGGCCCCATCGGAGGCCCGGCTTCCTCTCGGGGCCTGCCACGGCGCGGCCTCTTCCTGGAGCCGGCGCGGCTTCTCCGAACATGTCGCACTGGTTGCGCCACTGGCAAGGGACGCTGCGGAATTCTGCTGAGTGGGCCCCGCTCGCGCCGCACCCCGGCTGGAAATCTCCGCCCTGCCACCTACGTGCTGACGGTGTGAGAGGGCGCCCTAGCGTTCCCCTCCCACACTACCCCCTCCCCACACGGTCTTACGGTGTCAAGTTCGTGTGCAGGCTACACGCGCGTCTTGAGTCAGCTTTTCTTCACATGTCTCTCAAATCAGACAGGCATTTGCACGACGCAATACGGATAACGTGTTACGTAATGTGCTACGCATGTTTTGTTCGGCAAGCTGAGATTATAAAACTAGCGCCGAGTACGTTATGAAGGTTAATTTCCTACATGACCAAAGTAGACAAGGTAATCACGCATTCCTGTTAGATGTTTGGGAGTGCACTGATGGATTCGACATCTGAGGTCATTCAATCGGTTAGAGTGAGTCAGGAATCTCTTAGCCAATTTCCGAGAGGGGCTGATAAAATATTTGGCCAGGAGCCAGGCTCGGACTACATACCTTACGACTGTGACTTTTGATGGACATTTATTCCGGTACGTAGCGGCTTGGTACGTAGTGGTGATCGGCAGCAAGGCCGATATAAAAAGATGGAGGCTATGCAGCACTTGAAGATCGAACAAACCGTTTTCAGGGAGCTTCGGAGGTCATTAACCTCAGCGCTCGAAAGCTATACAGAACGCCAGTTCCTCGACCCTGCAGACCACGACACAGCTGCGGCAGGAGCTCGGTAGACGGCAGCACCGTCGCTTTCTGCAAGACGGCGCCATCCGGGCTTCGGATTCCGGTTGTCATTTTACTCTTCTTTTTTGGTTCTTTCATTTAGGTATGCAGCCGTCGTATGGCCAGGGAGATCAGCATTTAGTCGGACCCCGGCAAAGCCCGCTTGATAAGTGCCCGGGATTTCGAGGATCTCCACTGAGCCTGCCCCTCTACTGACCCTGCCCTCTACTGACCCGTCCCTCTACTGACCCTGCCCTCTACTGAACCTGCCCTCTACTGACCCTGTCCCTGCACCGACCGTGCTCCTCTAACGACATCGCCTGCGCAATAGAGCGCTGAGTTCTCCTCCCAGCGTTCAGCACAAAGATCCCTCCCGCACTGACTTCACCTTCCAACCGCCTTCCGTCTGACCTCGGGTGACCCGCCGGCTCCGGTGGCCGGAGTGGGCGCGCGGGCGGCGGCGGGGCGGCGCGGTGACCCGATCCGGGACGCTGACGCGGCGCCCCGGTCGGCGCGTGGCCGACAGGAGGACGGCCAGTGCCTGGTGTAGCTCTCAGCCGGCCCGGCACCTCCCCGGCGCGGGCGCCGAGGGCCGACTCCCACCGCACCGCCGGCAGCGACGCTGGCGCAGGTGAGTGGACTCCCAGCCCAAGGTGGCGGTCTGTCCTGTTGGGAGGTGGCTGGCTCGGCGTCCTGCAGACTGCTGCCGGTACGGCCTCACCGTGAGCTTCATAACGGCTTCGAATAATGGGATCTACCCGCCCCATGTACAGCCATACCTAGACGCTCAAGTCGGTCAAGAAATTTTAAATTTTCGAACAACAAACCACGAATTAGATCAGTGATTTTCGATGTCGCGCACTCTTCAGCAGTGTCATTAAAAGATTGCCTTGAAACTGCGCGTCGTGGGACGCACTACCCATTGCTAAAGCGTAGTTTCTTCTCAGGATTACTGTTTTAACGTATGACGCATTTCGTTGCCTTCAACACCGTGCAAATCTAAGAAAACGGTACTGATAAACATTTTCAGAAACCATCGAAGCCTCAGAAGCCATTGGCTGGCGATAATGCTACAGGTTCTAGCGTAATCGAGCAAAGTGTACAGGGCCCTTGTTGGCAGTATACCATCATGTTACTGGGGGGCTTTTCACAGACGCTTTAATGCGAGTTCAAAATATAATGATACGATAGCGAACAACACAATTTTGGAGAACTATGCCACCATATGCATGCCAGGTAAATCCCAGACAACCGGTAGTGGTCGACATTATTGGAAACAATTGCAAAAGTTCTAATGCATCAGACTTGCATTCGGTTTTTTAAGTGGCATATGTCGATATATTTAAAAATTGTCATTCATGTGATCACCCAAATGTGTTCAAGAAAGTGAGAAAGAGGATGATTTAGCCGCCGATGAACAAAGGAGCCTCCAGAAGTCTCAAGTTTTGGAAGGAAGACAGCTCTCACACGAAACGAATGCATTCTAGAGCGTCGAACTGCGGAAGCTGCGGCGTATTCTAGGGATGCGTTCGTACATTCACGCATCGTCCGCTTGCAGAATAGGCCCAGGTCCCTAATACGTTAGTGGTCACAGCAGTGCAAAAATCGAGGGCCTATTATACACAGTTTTACTGGACTTTGTCATTGCAGACACACAGCGGAGGTTCGCGGCGTAAGCGGTATATATATATATATATATATATATATATATATATATATATATATATATATTTCTGCCCAGTAAATCAATGCTTTTGAGCCAGCTTGCCAGCAAATCTGTTATCATATTTCATGCATCGTTGACTGAAAAGGATAACTTTCCAGCTTTTGGTTTTGAGCTATTGTTTTGTAAACTGTACCGACTTCTTTATTATAGCCCACCTGCATGGCTCAGTTTGACAAACATTAGGACGCATGGCATACACAGACTTCAGCCTTCCACTCACTGTCGACGATCTATGCATAGACCATTGTTTCCAATACGCAGTTTTTACAAGACCATGGTTCGATCATTTGCGCATTTTCCTTTCACGGCATTTCATTCTCATTTCAACATTTTCACTTCATATGCACGCAGTGAGGCGTGTTTATTCCAAAACGATGTATTTTTGTATCAGACAAGGAGCCCGCCACGACAGTACACGTTTCAAAAATCGCCGATGGTGTAACGGTTCGTGAACCTTAAGTGGAAGCGTGTGCGCTTTTCAGCTTTGAAAGGTCGTTGAACTCATAAGTACGCTAGTTAAATGCGTCCAGGTAAAATAGATGACACCAGTCAGCATGACCCATCATGCGCGGCGCGTTTGCCTGCGCTCCATTGGTTAAACATGGGAAACACAAATATAGAAAATTGCCAAAATGACAAGATCGCTATTAACAACCGAGCTTCTGCCGTGTCAAATAGAGGGGCTTTGGTTTTGCTACGGGTCGGTTTGTAGACAGTCCATGTCCAGACAGTCCAGAGGGGAGAGAACACGAAGAAACGAAATCAGCATGTGCAGACTGGGCAAGGAGGGAGCAATCGCACCGGCGAAAGCGTGGGTCGACGCGTTCGGTGCGCGCGTGATCTCACGCAAAAACAACGGATCAGGCGTTATCACACCTTTTTGGTGATGGTGTGCCAGTCCTCGACAGTCCGGGAAGATAGCCCCATGAAACCAACTGCATGAGTAGTTACGTGGACTATCTACAAACCACTCATGCATCCCAGCACTGTCCGACACGTAGCAAAACCAACCCTCGATCGGTAAGCTCACAATGTCACGTTTTTTTTTTGTCCGATACGAATGCGACACGTTGTCGCCTAAACTGAGTGTCATGAATATGTAAAAAGGACACGCGCGTAGGGTCAAATTTACTGAGGCCAATATCCACCTACAATATTTGCTTGTTTTATAAGATCTCCGTCGCAACGGCCTAAAACGTGACAAATTCGCAAAACGCTACAAGAGTACAACGCTGTAAACTCGCGGATTTCACCAACGCGAAATTCACGCCCCGTCGCCGGCCTGCCGCTGGCTTTAAATGGGCTGGCGCATTTCTGCGAAAGGTCCTCCGCGCGGTGGACATAAAGACATGTAGCTTGGCATCTGGCAGGCGGGGGCCGTGAACAAAAGCGACCATAAGAATGTGACTGAGACAAGAGCATGGCACTGCCTTCGTATACACATGCGCACCCGTGTACCGAAGGTCATGCGTTATTGAGCACATCACATGGATTGGCCAATCATATTGCATATCACAAGACATGTCAACTACAGCGTAGCGGGAGTCTCCCACCTTTGGAACATATTTCAAGAACATACTCTAGTGAAACCCCAGGACCAGTTACGTATAAGAATAGCACAAGTGCCAGTGTAGCACCGTCAAGACTTAGTAGGACGTCAGTTGTAATTATTTTCGAGTCCAGATTGCGCTGGCAACGCATAGTAGCAGCCTTACGCTTCTTCCCTGGAGTCGTGACCACGGTTGCTATGAAAACCGTCCCGCGCGCGTCCACTGGTGTGAACAAAAGAACGTTTGTGATTAGCCCCGCAGCGGCAAAGGCCTGTTACCGAGAAGCGCATCTGTTGAAGTTTGAGCCGGTGCGTCGCTATGGACCATGTGGTACTCCCATTCCCAAAGACGAAGTGCGCCTTGAAAAGATCCACGGTAGTACGTCAAAGGGGAGAAAACAAAGTACAAAAAGGCAGTATTCTATTTAAATGGAATGTTTCACATTTTAAGATATTGAAAGGGAGAGTTCCACATTTATATGGGAGTTTGAACTGAAATAGCCATCTTGAAAACATTTCGGTTCACAACCCTGCCCTTTTAAGATCCAAACCCCTCTAGTTTCTGAGCTACACAGTCACGAGAATGGTGAAAGGTACATCAGGGAGAGTATTTCGGGGAGAGTAAAGAGAGTAAGTCACCTTGCCATTCATGACTTAATAATAACGCCATTTAAATTAGGTCATTCCATAAGTCATGCGGCGATCAAAGTCAAGAAACACAGAATTGTCGATGCGCCCACATCTTCTAGATATGACGGCCGTCAACTGGT